AATGCAAGTTCTTCCAGCTCTCCTGTTCCACACACTTCTCAAACTCCACATCAGGTTGATCCAGCTGAAGATATCACAGTTGTACCACAAGTCCTGCCAGATGAAGTAACAGAAACCATTGTTGATCTCACTTTAAGAGAGAGGTCCCAGTTGAATTACAAAACGTTTTTCACCATCATACTGAAGAAGCATGGTCTGTTCATGAGAAACCTTCAGTTCCATCAGGATTACCCATACCTAAATGTCTTCCATATCCATGACTTACATAGGTTACCAAAAGAAGCCCTTTGTTTCTTCTGGTATCTGTTCGAGTCCCATACCATAGCAATATCGTTCAACTCATCCAAACTACTCAGCTACATTTTTCAATGTCAGTTTGATAGTCCGCCCCCAGGGGCAAAGAACGTGTTCACCCTTCTCCAATGGTTCCTCCCAGCTCATCAATGGATTCAACGATTAGCTGTCTGTTTCAAGACCTATGTTGTAATCATGTTTAGAAGACCCTGCTCCTTCTTACCACATACGGCTCTTCGACAACAACAATCTCTGGTCTACCACTCTCCATTATCATTCATTCATGAATGGAATGATCGCAACCCAGGCAGCTCGCACTACGAATGGTCCCAACCAAAAATATATTTAGAAACAAGGCGGATCCTAGCCAGTGCTAACCTAGTTGATCCAGATTCAATCCGAGAACAAGTCCTAAATAATGAAAACCTTTGGCCCTCTGATCACCCAGTTGTGGCATTATGGGATGAAGCGCTTAAAGACTGGTACCAGACTCATCTCACAAAGAAATTGGACACTTCCGATGATGAAGACGATAATGAAGACGATGAACGTTATGATCCCGGAGAAAATATGTATGATCCTTATGAAGACGATCCGTCTCATCCTGACTCTCGCTGGAAATAATTATAGTAGTTCAAATAAAATAAGTGTCTCGACAAATTTGTGATGTAATAATGACGTAAGCTTATAGTCACCTAGTTGTGATGTAAGCGTTTACCTCATTTAGTTTGTTTTCTAGTTTGAATTATTATTAGCTTTTGTCATGCTTATGTCATGCTTGCACAAGGGTGCCTTTTCCTTCACTATAAAAGGAAGGCTTACCCTCATTTGTAAATCATCCTTGGAAAAGAAATACAAGTCTCATTCTTATATCCTCTCTTGTTCTTAAGTTTAAGTTGATGTTCTTCATGCTTTCTCTTATACAAGCTTCTTAGTTTTCCAGTTACAGACCAGTCTCCCTGTATCCCAGTCTTGGGAATCACCGAAATGGATATGAGTATATCTTTGAGCTAGGCAGTGTCTGGGAAGATCTGTGGGAAGGGATAACGTCACTAGGTGTTCGGCTGAAGTGGCCGGGAGTTGGTGTGAGTCGAACTTGGATGCCTGAACGAATTCCAAACCAAAGAGAAAAGAGAAAATTGGTTCAAATGATCATTTTACATATTTAAATTGGTCTTTTAATAAGTTCTCTTCTGAGTTGACCCAAATGTCTTATCTAAATGCGTCGTAATAAGTTTATAGGATGTTTTTGGCCGTTTTAACAAGTTTTTTAGGACACTTTTAATAGAAGCGTCGCAATAGCTATTTTATAGGACACTTTTGAGATAGTATTCTATAAACCAATTTTTATAGGACACTCGTGTTTATAGGATATTTTTTCAAATAATATCTTATAAAATAACTAATATGATTTTTTTTCGTAAAAGTGTCCTAACAAACTTGCTACGACGCTCAAAAGCGTCCTATAAACTTATTGCAATGCATTTAGATAGGAGGTTTTATTTTTTGGTCCTACAAATTATATCATATAAAGTGATCTATTAGGATGCTTATTATTGGTGGCATTCTATAAACCTAATTTTGTTGTAATGTGAGGGAGTCTTTGGTTTAATAAATTCATCAACCAAATATCTACCAACATCATTCATATTTTCCGGCACATCCATTTGTTGTTGTTGCAAAAATGATGACATAAATTTTCTCCTATTAGATTCTTTCTTATCATTCTTTGGTGATAAATCTCTTTTGTTAACCTATACATATAGTTAAAATGAAATACAAATATAAACTCAACAAACATTATATAAAATTATAAAAATTATTAATATATATATATATATATAGAGAGAGAGAGAGAGAGAGAGAGAGGAGCGTTCAAATAAAAACCGGCTCCATTTGTGTAAACCATGAAAACCAATCTCATCCATCCATTTTCTTGATCGATGACCAAAATTAGTTTACTTTATTTTAGGAAATTAAATAAATATATATATATTAAAATTTTATTTTATTTCAACAGTAAGGGCATAAATGGTAAACAAAATTTAATATTTGGTAACATCCTACTCGATCTTTCATGAATTTTTTTTTCATGCAAAATTATTTTCTTTTAAGATTAATTTACTTTCATGAATCTTTTTTCATGCAAACTTATTTTCTTCCTTTCGTTCCTGATTTGATGCATTAATTTCTTTAAGCCTTGCAATCTTAAAGATTCTAAAGCATATTACAATCTTCAAGATTCTAGAGCAGTTTCTTCATGTACCCGTTTCATCATTCAATTATTTCATGACGAACCAAATACATTATGCAACCGTTTCACTAGTCAT